AATTTTATAAAAATAAAATATAAAAATAAAAAAATTTTCTAACAATTTATAATTTTTAAACTTTTATTATTACGTCTTATAATTATTTTATTAATATTAGAACAAAAACATTTTTAAAAAAGGGAAATATTAAAATTTATTTTAAATTTTATCATTAACAAGAGTGATTTTTAAATCAGTTTAACGTTATGACAATAGGAAGAATATTGGAAAGAAAATTCAATGGGAAAATATAATTGATATAGTTGATAAAAATAAAGAATTATAGTGTAAATTACTTAATTTCAATTAGATATAATAATATATAAAATTACAGATAGGGCAATATGCATTGAAGATGGAATCAAACTCTGTAATTTCCTAAAATCAGAACCAAACAAATAAATTAAAATGTGTTTACTATTTAAATTTATACAATCATTTTATTCTTAAAATGACTGTTAAAAAGCAGTAAAAATAAATTTAATAATTATATTAAACATTTTTTTTTAGAATATGAAAAATGGAAACCCACGGACTTAAGTTTGGAAATTCGAAATAGGTCTATATTTCATTGGTCTATATTGATTTTTTTTTTTAAATTTGAAAAGTTCGAAAAAAGAATTACAATTCTAAAATAGAATTTTTCATGGAAAAGGTAATACAAATGTTTTTTATTTCTGTTTTAATTATAAATTACACGGCTAATCGAGGTATATTGTACTTTCGAAGACCGATTAAAACTGATTTTGAACAGTTGCATGATGATATTTGGAGATTCGGTGAAACAAATGACATGCAGCTATATCAAATCAATTTTAAAATACAATCGAACTTTCAATAACGGCCACCATTTTTTTCAGAAACTTCTTCCCTTGAAGAAAATTGCAGACAAAATAACGTCCACAGAACGGCCCCTCCGAAACATAAAAAATGACGGTCCCTCCGAACAGCCGTCATTTTTTTAATGTATTCCGTCAGTGGTTATTCAGAGTTTTGGCTAAACAGTAAGGTCTCGTTTTATTAAATGGTTAAATTGACAACCCTTGTTCATAAAGTGAATCGCTGGTAAATCGAGGCAAAATTGTAATACAGTACAATATAGCCTATTTAAATGAAATTAGTTCCTTCAGTATGAAAATTGACTACTAAAAGTTAATTCAATTTTGATAAATAATCATGGTTATTATATACTTAAAGAGTTCTAGCCTGTTCCAGCTACATTTTTTTCTATATCTAACGTTTTCGGCTAACTTAGTAGCCATTTTGCAGGATCTAACATTCATGTATCTTAACAGAATTCTTTTGAATTTAAATTTTCAAAATTTAATTTTGACATTCTTAGAAGCAGTAAACGTTAGAAAAATAAAAGTGTTGCTGGAACAGGCTAAAACTCTTTAAATTTACACTTTACTCCAGTTTAAGAAGCTCGTTATTTTATACTTATTTTACACAAATAATATTTATGAATAAAACAAGACAAAAAGTTATAAATTAAACATTAAAAGCGTATTTGAAAACAGTGGCATAATAAAGAATCCTAAATTAGATGGGCCTGGCTGAGGGTCATTTACATCGATAGGCTTCAAAGTTTTTCTGGCTAAAAAAACTGCAATAAGAATGTCTATTGGGTCTTTTTCCTTCTCCTCTCCATGATGTTTTAATATGGTTTGAGAACATTTGTTACAGCTCTTTGAATGAAAGAGTTGTATTCCCACTTAGAATCATTATCCCAGTCAGGTCATCCACAGGTAATTCGTGTCGGTGTAAAGCTTCAAATATCTTCGTGGCGAGTACCCTGGATGGTACGTTTTTATCCTCTTCACTGTTCTTTTTTTTAGCAAGTTGTGCTGCCAATTTTTCTTATAAAAGTGGAATTCTGACATCATCAATGTCAAAATTTCCGATGTCAACATTTTTGCCATTCCATGCATACATATCTGAGCCAGTTTTAGTTATAGTTCCATAATTTCTCTAAAAATAGAGACTGCTACACGACTGTCCGACATTCACAGGACAGTCGCGCAGGAGGTTAAGGAGACTTGGAAGAAAGTACGATAATTTTCAATTATACTACGTTATAAAATTTAAATAATAATAACAGGCTTAAGAGGAGTAATTTTGTTGAATTATGAGAAGTTTCTTTATTTTCCAAAAAGAATAATTTAAGTTTAAATTTAAAGTATTATGAGTGGTACCATCTATTATAAAAATTATTTTTAAATTAAATAACGTTCAGATTTTATTAAGTATTTTTATAATAATTATTATAAAAAGGCAAAACACTGACTTTTGAGTGTTTGGCTGAGTTTTTTTTTAATTGTAAATTGATAACGAATAGAACTTTTATTGTCTTAACCCACTCCAGATATGACACGATTTCCTTTATCTCCTCACACCGTTGACTTTTAACCATCAAAATTTAATATCACCAATGCCTCATATATAGAAATAATTCTGCTAAGTTTTAAAATTTTTTGGTTCTTCCAGTCCTAATATATAATGCGAAATTGATGACAACACACAATTTTATAGTTTTTTTTTTAATATAATGTATATTTTTGGGGTGGCTTATGGAGTATCAAAACGTCAATAAATGCAAAAAAAAAAAGACGAAAAAAGGAAAGAAACACATAATAATATGAAGTACCAGAGTAATATTAATTAACACAAAATTCAGAAACACTCCAGGGGAGACGATCTCATTCAAAAAGATATATAAAATCATACTGAGAGAGTAATATCAATAAGAAGTTGGTTTTATTTTTATGGTTAATTTATTTAAACTAATTCACTTCAATCTAATTAAGAGTGAAATTGGAATAATTGTTTTGACTCGAATAGTTTGCCACAGGAAACAATTTTCCGTTTTGCTTTTTGGGATGATTAACTTGAACCTGAGTTGTAGTTAAAAATATAAATATATTTTGGAATTATTGTTATGGAACCATGCATTAATTATGTGTACAATTTTTGAGCCACTTTTGACACTCTTGCCTGTTTTTAAACTCTTTCTGCGCTGTGGGCACTAAGATAGCTTCCTTTAGCAGGTTCACTTTAGGTTCGGCTAGGCTCTCAATAGGACAGCCGGGTGTGTAGTGATGGGGTCTGACCACTTGAAAAATTCCTGAGGATTTTTTGATGCGTTCGAATTCGATCCTAGTACCCAGAGCAGCAGGCTGTCACCTTGACGCTCGACCATCTGACCGACAAGTATCTCTTTCCTTCCCTGTTATGTTATTTGCCTCACTATCTACAATAATTAAACTGCAAAATACACACAGAATAAAAACAAACATTTTAAACAGGGCTGTGGAGTCGGTAGATTTTTACGCGACTCCACAGCCCTGTCCGACTTTTTTTTACCATCCGACTCCGACTCCGACTCCGACCAGGGGCGGACATGTTACCGAAAGAGACCAGGAAATTCTGATGTCATCACGTGACCTCAGAATAAAAGATTCAATAAATAGATTTCTAATAAAGGTAGAACGTAGAAACTTTTTATTCCAAAGCTA